AAATGTCACTAGAAAGAATTCAAATGACAAAGTTTGAAGGAATTTTTCCAATATCAAATTTAAATTTTAATTGTTATTAATTATTGTTAAACAATAATTAAATGAACTGCTAATCAGTATGAAATAAAGTCTATGAGAAAAAAATTAACACATTTACTTTTAAGCAAACACACATAGAAAATGGAAAGGTAATTATGATTAGAATCCATGAAAGCACTAGAAGTGCATAACCAAATATGGTACCAATCGTTTCATAATCCGGTGGTACATCCTGAAATCCATTTTAATAGTATTACGGAAAAGGAGAAGTAAACAGTTAGATATTGTTAAAAAGAAAATTTCGAAAGTTTTCATTTATTCTGAAAAACCAATAACATATCCTAAGATTATCATTGGTTGTGATTAAAAGCATTTTTTTGGGATCTAATAAAAGGTACACCGTAACATTGCATAATACTGCTTATTATAATATCTAGAGAAAGAGAAAAGAAATTAAAAAAATTTACACTTACCTGATTAGAAGAAGGTGTTACCCATTGTGGGTCCGTCCGGGCATTTTTTGAAGACATCGACCCGTTGGAACCCAATTTCGTTTTAATGTAGGATTTTTATCCGTTCTAAAAAATTTAAAAATAATTAATATATTGCAACAAATACATAAAATGATAACATTATTGCAATAAATAATTGAAAAATTCAAAAGCAAAAGATCAATAAATAATTAATGATTATAAAGCGCAAAATAATTACACAGCAGTGAAATAAACTAAGCATATGAAAAGCCTAAAGAATTCAAAATTTATATGAATTAGGCATTATTTTATTAAATTTTTGAATTTTCTAACCGCATGATTGATTGATTGAAATGAAATTTACAAAAACTGTACACTAAATAAAAATAAGTCTATATTATTAGATTTTAACCGTTATTAAATCAAACTATAGTAATAATTTCTCTAGCATATTAGAATAAAAAAAAAAAAAAAACTATTTAAGACCTAAAATTTTTTGTAAACCAATTTAACTCATAATTAATCCTTAATATACACATAATTTTACGTTATATTAACAATACCGAATATAAATTGCTAACTTTATAAGTTATTATAAACTATCAACAAATTAATAAAATAAAAGTTAATGAATTAATTAATCCATATGGCTGTTAGGCAATCTATTATTATAAAAAATAAATTCTTAAATTATATTATAATGAAGAAGAATTATCTTTTTATATTCCTTTTTTAATTTTCATTTTTATCAATTCAAAAATTACCATAAATAATTAATCCTTACTATACACATAATTAATTCATAATTAAAACCGACAAGCTAAATGTAAAAAGTAAATTATTAAAAAAAAAAGAACTTTTTTAACGAATGGAAATAATTTCTCTTTTATGATAATAAAGTTATCTCGATTTTCAAATAAATTTTTATTATGTATGTGAAATTTTAAATTCAAAAAAAAAAAATACATTTTAACGTTTCATATTCAAATATAGTTTGCCGAACATATTTTTCATTATGGATTAAAAAACGTAGCAGCTAACATTTGAAGATAAATTTAACATTTTATTTAAAAAGGAGAAAAAAAGCTAAATGAATAAACAAATAAACAAGCATTTAAGTTTGACATTAAAATATTCACCATTTTAATGATATATTTATTTGCTGTGAGTTTAATAACATATATAATTACGATATTTTGAATAACATTTAAATAAAAATAATGGATGAATATTTTTTGAAAAATATTCACTAATAAAACAACAACATAAAATTAATGAATACTAATAATTAATTAATTCAATAATAAAATCAAAGCTAATAATTAGCAAAAATTAAAAGAATCAAAATTAAACGAGAAAGAAGTTTAATAATATTTTGTATATTTTATAATGATAATTAAACAAATTTTGAAAGAAGAAGTCAAAATAACGAATGATGGTATTATGTTTACACTTATATATGCATATAAAGAGATAGGAAAAGCCTTTAAAAGCTCCTCCTAAAATCAATCAAATTATTTTTAGATTCTCTTTGGCATTTTAGCGCTTAGCTAAAATATACTACGAAGAAAATTATTTCGTAAGTCATGTTGAGATGAATGATATCAAATTGAAATTTGACAAAATGGAAAAAAAAAGTGAAAAAAAGACAAATGCGAATAAGCATATACTCTTAAATTTTCATCCTTGTTAAATTAAAAAAAAAGATGAAAAAAAAATGTAAATAAATAAATAAATGAAATTATTTATTTTTGAATAACTGAAGAAAAACGGAAAAGAAAAAAAAAATAAAAATGACATACTAAAAACATGATTTTGCAAGGAAAAAAGGAAACAAAAACAATTAAAATTGAATAAAGTTAAAACAAAAAAGAAGGAATAATTTAAACCTTAGAAAGAAAAGAAAGAAAAGTTGTAGATTTAGAAATATACTTTTTTAAATTTAATCAATAAATAAAATGCATAAATAATATATTTTTGTTTTATTAATCTAAGACTTGTCACTTTTTTCTTTGAAAATTTTACTGAAATCATTTATTAAATGTTAACTCTAGGTATATATATATATAACTTATCACAGTAAAACTAAAAGTAATGAAAAAAAAAAGTGAATGAAATTTGAGAATATACTACTTTTAGGTAGGAGAAAAGAATTTTAACATTACTTCATCAATACTAAATGTATAAATGAATTTAGTCAGAAGGGGGGAGAGGAAGAAGAGAGGAAGGGGAAGGAAGAAGAGAGGAAGAAGAAAAGACGAAGAAATAAATATAAGGCCGTGGCGATATTTTCCTATTTCCGCCAATCCTTTCAAAAAGCCTTTTTGTGAGGAAAGCTTCATTTTTCATCGATTTCATGAAATTTGATTAAATGGAACAATGAAAGGGGAGAGAGAGAGGGAGAGGGAAAGGGAAAGGCAGAGAGGGAGAGAAAGATGGAAAAAAAGAAAGATATGCTTTATGATGAGGTGAAAATTGAAATAAATATACAAATCATACATGTTATATTATGATGTAGCGATAAAATAAACAGAAATAAATAAATAAACAAGTAAATAAATTGATAAATAAAAATTTTTAAATCCAAAGAAAGAGAAAAAATATTTAATAAATCAAAATTATAAGTTTATATTTTATTAAAAAATTTGGCAAAAAATTTTTTTAAATGATAGCCTGATTGAATACAAAATTAACTGCATTATCATATGCATAAAACATGTGGAAATACTAAAATAGAGGTAAAAAGAAAAGGGAGGGGAGAGAGAGGCGGCACAAGAGAGAGAGAGTGAAGAAAATAATTTAAATCGAATTTACACTGAAAAGGATAAAGTGATTGCATGATGTTTTATTTTTTCGCTTTTTTTTTATGAAATACATTTTCAGCAATTCTTAATTACCTTTACTGTTGGTTTTTCTCTTTTATTTTGATTAATTATTAGTTTACACTAGCATAATAATTGATATAATTGTGTTAATCAGATGATTATTTATTCTTATTAATTAAAATACATCATTAAAACACTTCACATCAGCTAAATGAATCATTTTTAATAGTTTAAATTAATTACAACAGATAATAATTCATTTCATACGTAAGCAATAAACATTGCATTTCTTTATCAGTACAATGATAAAATTTGAAATATATCATCACCTTATCAATAATGTAGTATATTATCATATCATAAAAATAACTTCTCACACAAAAAAAAGAAAATTATGACAAAATATTTAAATGAAATAACAAAATTCATTATAAAAATTTAATCAGCAACAACTTTTTTTACGATTAAATTAATACGTTTTTTTCGGTAAGATTTTGTATACAAATTTCCCATTTTTTTTTTTTTTGCAAAAAAAATTTCACTGTTTTTTTAATTTTAATTCTAAAACTATTTTTAATTTTATCTTTTTTTATTGATGGTATTCATTATATATTTTTTTCTTGAAAATTTCTGCCATATTTTTTTAATACAAGTTGAATTTTAACGTTTAATATATAAAACTTTGTTTATTTTTAGAATAGAAAATAAAAGTAAGAATCATGTTATTCTGATCTGCAATATTTGTTGCAATTTTATTTCTTATTATATCATCGAAAATGATAATCAACTAGAAAGTATCATCATAAAAATAGGTGTTACATCTTGAAGTATCAGTAATTCAACTCTTTCATATTTATTTAAATGATTATTTTAGATAATATAGCTGTCGGAACAAAAATACAGATAGAGCGAAGAAGGATGTATGAATTCATAATTGCAATTCGATTGAAATTACACTGAATTGAAATTAAAATTGAACTGAAAAAAAGCATACATCAAAATGGAATTAAAAGTGAAGATTAGTTAGAAAAAAGAAATGTGAAATCTTAATACAGAAGGTAAACAAGTTTGAATTATTCTTGTAAATTCGAAGTTTTCGTTCAAAATTTATATATTTAATATTTGGAATTACATATTTAAGGATTTTCAAATTAAATTTCTTATTAAGACAAGCATTAATAATAAGAATAATCTTTTATAAAAATTAATAGTCAGAATAATATTTTATAAAAGTTTGTGGAAATTTTCGAAAATATATAATTTAATAAATAGTGGAAAAAAAAAAAAGGAGTGTGACAATTGCAAATGAAATTTCCACTCGTTGCATATATAAATATATTTTAATGAAAAAAAAAAAAAAAAATCAATTTTGCAAAACAATTTTTCACTCATCCACTCACTCACTCTTTCTTTCTTTGCTTTTTTAGATAAATTTATTTTAAAACCATAGTTTGTTCTACAAAATTGTAAAACTTCACAAAATCTTCCCCTCTTCTTGTTTGTGTACACGAAATTATAACAAAATGACATATTGGAAGTGGAAAAAAATATAATTGAAAAGAAAAAAAAAAAATGATAATTTGACTGACTTTCTGCATAAAAGCGTTTCACTATCATTAGCAAATGTTAATTGTTTTAATTTAAAATGTTGATATTTTTTTAAATTTTGTGAAGTGTTGTAGTGTCCAAACAAAAATACAAATTTTTGAATACATTCGTGTTTTATAATTCTTTTGTGAAGAAAGGAAAAAAGGATTTTGTTGATGGAAGGAAAAATTGTATGAAAAATAAACAGGAAAGAAGGAGAGAGCGAGAGAGAGAGAAAAAAAAAGAGAGAGAGGAAGTAAGAAATGATGGAAAACATCATTTTGCATGAAAAAAATTATAATCAATTTTTCTTGGCAAATTTTTGAGAAGTTTCAATTGAGCAAAAATTGTTAAAGGAAAAAGTGGAAAAAAAAAAATGAAAATCTTGGCTTAACCCCGATATGATGAATGGAAGAGAAAAAGAAAATGTACCTTTGCATTAAACTAAATTTATTTTTTTCAAAACTTTCTTTAAAGTTTTTTTTTTTTACTTTTCTAAGTCACAGTTCCTTCTTTATTGCATCTTTTTTACGCTCCAAAATGAGTGATTTTATTTTACTTGAAACATTTTGAAAAGTGGTGAACAACTTTTGCGCCCTTCATCTTCCTTTCTTTGTTCCTTATTTGTTTTATTAATTAATTAAT